TTAAATTCATGTTAGTAGTTCACATCTTCATAGGAGTTTATGCATTTTATCTAAGTTATCTCCATTTGTTCATAGACAATGGTTCACAGTGTTAAAATCATTTTTTATTATGTCAGTAGTGATGTTTCTTTCTTTGTTCCTGATTTAAGTAATTTGAATTTTCTCTTTATCAATCTAACTGAAGTATCTCAACTTTGTTGTTAATCTTTTCAAAGAATAAGATTTAGTTTCTGTTGACTTTCTTATACTTTCGGTTTTCTATTTCATTAATATCCACCCTGTAATATTTAATTCTTTCTGTTTGTTTTCAGTTTCGGTCACTCTTTCTATGTTTCTTAATGGAAAATAGTAGATTATTGATTAGAGATATTTTTCCTTTAATGTTTTTTCCCTATAAGCACTGAATTAACTACATCCATCCGTCTGTTTTCTGTGTTTGGGGTTCATTTTCACTCACTTCAGAAAATATTCTCATTTCTCTTGTGATTTATTATGAGTAACATTTCATTGAATTTCCATGTATTTGTTAATTCACAAAGTTTCTTTGGGGTATTTATATCTAATTTAAGTATACTGCACTTGGAGAACTTAATTGTCTTCTTTGATTGCCCTCTAACACTGTCTTCTCTGACAGTCAACATGCAGCCCAATGAAGGCGCAAGAAAGAAACATGGAGCAGCCCACCATTAGGGTTTGATTTAGCACGGCTGCTTCTAAACATCGTTCCCTGCCTGTATCTTTGCCTCCTACAGTGTCCTGATAATCCCAGGATGACCTCACAAGCATAAATACCCTCTTGCTGCCTTTTAAAATATTCTCAGGTAACTGCCTCTTTCAAATCTTGGTGGGCTCCTCTTTCTAAAATAACTGTGCATTCACTATTCTCATTGTCCCAGGCCTTCTTTCAGGAAGGTGCCCCCCCAACCTCAGGACTCTCCTTGTATAAGAAGTTCACTGTCCTCTGTCCATAGCACAGGAGAACTCTCAGGAGGTTCATCCTAAAAAACCCAGCTAGAGTGGAAGCCTTGCTTTAAGGTGGAATTGCAATGACACATAAGTAAACAGGTCCTGCTTATACCACTAAACAATTACATCTCCAAAAAGTGTCCATTTTTCTTTTTTCTAAGAGCATCACCATAGTGTAATCCATATATCATCACACCCCTGGGTGACAACAGCAGGTTATTAAGGCTATTTTTATATTCCTTGGTTCAACTCTCATAGGAACATCAGATTGCATTCCTTAAATGCAAACTCAGAGCAGTGCTAAATTCTCCTAACAGCTCCCTCATTCACTTGGAGCGCAGGAGAACATCATCCACATGGTCCTAGGAGGTCTCATCTAGAATTCTTCCACCCAACCATCTCATGCCTTTTTTCCCTTTCTTGGTCAGATGATCTGCAGCCACACTGGACATTTTTCAGTTTCTTACAGATTTCATAACTGTTTAAAACTTAACTTTCACCTACTATAATTGTCACTTTAGTAACAACATTACCTGACTCTCTTTTTTAAAGCCTCTGAAATAACTTAGGTTCATTTCTTCTCATTCATCTTCATGTACATGTTCAATAATGTGATGGGGCTGGATTTTCTGAGATAGGTCTCATTCTTTTCTTTCTTGGACTTATTATTAATATTGGCCTTTCATAATTAAAAAAAAAGGATCTAAATTAGATCAATAAGTTTTAGTAGTCAACCTAATGATTTCCATAGCTCTCTCCATTATCTATTTGTGTATCAATGGCCCCTGACTTATGCAGGTTCAACTTACATTTTTTTTTACTTTACTATAGAGTACAAACAATATTCATTCAAAAGTTGTACTTCATGTTTTAAATTCTGATGTTTCCTGGCCTAGCTATACATGATATCTTCCTCCTTCATGATGCTGAGCAGGGGCAGGGAGCTGCAGTTCCCCAGTGAGCCCAAGCATTCTAAGAGGAAAGAAACAATATTCTGCAGTTAATTATGATGTTTGATAGGTTGGACATTTGCAATTTATGATATTTTGAACTTCTGATGAATTTATTGGGTTATAACCCCATGATAAATCAAGGAACATCTATATGTTCTATACATAATTGTGATCAATTTAGGTTAAAATTATTATTTATCTTTAAAAGAATAAGAAGAGAGGAAAATGAAATGATAAATGAGGAGATAAAAATGTTAATTACACTTACTTGATCATTATATATTGTATACATGTATTAAATGATCACTATAGCCCATCAATATGTATGCTTTTAGGTGTCAATCAAAAATAAATTTTAAGAACCTGACAATCAGAACAAGCATTTTGTCTTTCACAATACCCAATCAAACACCAAGTCACAGTGAAACACATAATCTTCCCTACAAAGAGGTTTTTCTATTGTCAGCTTTCTTCATAAGCACCCACCGTACCCACAGATTTCAGTGGATCATTGCTAATCCTTCCCTCCATGGTTCTGGGGTTCTGGGTTAGAATCTACCAATGAGAGACATTCATATAAGGTTCAGAAGGAAAAGCCATTATGATTCTGAAGCACATTTGTCAGCAGATGCCTACACAAGGACTGAACTTGAGGATCCAGCAAAGATTTCAGAGATGTGCTGTGGCTTCCTAGTGAGCCCTGCAAATCCAGCAGCTATTCCTCTGGCTGTTGTGAATTCCCTGACTTCTTGCATCAAAACCTATTTCTGTGCTTATTTTTTTATAAAACAAAGATTTGTTTAAAGACAATTCTTCACAGGACTTATTGCATCCACTCCAATGAGTAATAGAAAAACCACAGAGTTGCACATCTGCACATTCAGAAATGCCCTTTTCCATCTGACACGCTCACTTTCACAACCAGTTTTTCAACATGGGCTGTTACAACTCATGTCTTTATACAGCAAATGAGAAATGAGAAGCATATGCAAAATTTGAAAATCCTAAGAGTTTGCTATATCTGAAAAGATCCTTTGTCCCCAGAAAGTCTCTCTTCATTGTTCCCATCCACCTCTGGGCACTCGCCTGGCTCCAGTGTAGTTACACCTGAGGGCCTCCCAGGAAATTAGCTCAGCTTATCTCTGCTTTCCACTCTTAGCTCTTTATTTTTCCCAATTCCTTTTGGATGATCTGGGCTGATTTATGGCTTCAGTCAATGTTCCTCACTGCTGGTGTTATGTCATGTTTACTTACGCATTTATATCCAATCTGATGGACAGTTTCTCTCTGACATTCAATGTGCACAAGGCACCGTGAAGCACTGTAACCTCTTCCCATCTGTTTTGCCTGGCCAGGACTCAAGTAATCCTCTGACTCATATTAGAGATCATAGCATCTTCTTACTCCCTTTTCTAACCTTGACTAACCTGTCACACACCTTGGACTCCTGACAGATCCAGAGCTAACTTTGCTCCGACACAAAGAAATTGGTTATTTTTGGACATGAACTACTTTGCATCAATGAAAATTCCTCAGTGAAATAGTCTCAACTATTAAGAAATTTTCAATGGGAAGGAAGAGACAGAGTATTAAAGGGTAAAAGCATTCAATTTTGATCTATTTAGAGATATGTATGAATTCAGAAAGTTATTGGAACTGAGAAAGGTCATCTAATGCAGTCTTTGGGTATCAATGCTTTCAGTCACTACCCTACATGTATGAAAAATAAAATTATCACCACCAATATATAGACCAAACTGGACCGAAATGTTGCTTATGGAGTCTACCTATGTTTGCAAATCATAAAATAAATTTACAGAAAAAGAGTTTACTAAAGATGGACAGACTAATTTTGAAATGACTAGGCTCACCTTCTCTAGCCTAACACCAAGAACTCTTCCTTCTATTTTACCTTCTCTCTTCTCTGACATAATCACTCTCTGCAAATAGGATTTCTAAATGCAGAGCCCTAGGCCACTCCATCCATTCCACAATATTTTATATTAGCCCTCTTATAAACAAAGCCTCTCCTCCTTCAGATTTATGCTTAGGTTCACATTGGGTATGTGTCAATAATGGGGCATCGCAATCAGAGGAAGGACACTGATGTGCACACACCATTGTGGAATGTGGTACAGCCCACCTGGCACTGTAGTGCCAGCCTATTGGTGGAGCATACCCAGTGAGCAATGACACATCTCCAGAAAAGAACAGTTACGATACTTCTGCTGTGTAATTTCATTTGATCCTCACAATAGCCCTCAAAGTTCAGATAAGGACAGTAGGTCTGAATGATTAAATGTATTGCCAAGACAACGAGTGAGAACAGAACTTCCAAAAAGCAAATCCTGGGCTCACCACATACTCGTCCAAGGTTTTTGATAGTGTGAGGAAAAGTGTATGCCTCACATTGATGTTGATGTCTAAGGAACAGAGAGCTTGGAACCATGCCTTGAAAGAAACCAGGCTTGCATTTCTAAATGCAAACATCTTGATTGCCATTCCTAATACTAGCCAAATCCCTCTACTGATTCATTCCAAACTGTAGGGAAAAATCAAAGCAGGAGCCAGAACAACTGAGAAAAGAAGCAAAATTGCAGAGGAGTATGGGAAATTTAAAAATAACTTTTAAGAAAAGGAAAGCCAGAAAAACCAGTAATCGTTAGAAGCTTCCTTGACTCCATCAAAAAAAAAAAAAAATGGATAAGAAAAGAACATGTTGTGCCACTGAAAATTATCTGTATTTTCTAGAGATAAAGAGAGCACCCAAACTCAATTATTCAGAAATGTGCTGGTGAAGAATTCAGAAACACAACACAGGGCTCCTGACCACCCAAATTCATGTGCACTGAAGACATTGGTATTAGGTGGAATAGGCATTCTGCATCTTGGTGGTGAGGGCTTCCCCTACCTCTTCTCCCCCTGATGCAGCTCTGACTATGACAAGACTCCTTATCTATGTAGTTATTATCTTGATATTGCATTAAGACTTTGAAAATGTTAGACAGATTTTTTTTTTTTTTAAGTTTACTTGTTCCAATCCACACAACAAGGACTTGTTACTTGGCGGAGAAAACAAACCTGCTCTTTGAGAGCTGTAATGGTTTTCTGAATTTCTGCTGCAAAATTGCTGAAATCCTGGAAAAACTTTGTTTTGGCCAGAAGCAACACAATTGTAGCATCGTCATCCACGTTCAAGCTGTCTTGTTGCCTGTTTTAAGAAACAAATGAAATGTTGGAAAATAAAAGTCGCAGGAAGTTTTTTAAACATCAACAAATATTCTTTTGACATTTTGAATATACAAAGCAGTGTGATTGGTGTTCTGTATAATCCTAAAAGAAAAAGGTATGACTGGAATTTGAAATTAAAATTAAATGGCATATAAAATGATAATCCAGTATCACATCTGCTTTATGTAGTTTATCTAAAATGATAGGGATTTTTATGAAATCAAGGGAATGTCATGTTGCATTTTGTATACATTTGACATATTATTTAAACCTCAAAGTGTGTCTTTTGCTAATGAATTGTTCATTTCAATTTACACATTGAAAAAACTGTGACAAATTAGATATTACATATTATACAGTACCCAGGTGGGAAAGATCCTTGCTCTATTATAAATTCATGGCAAGAACTAAATTAAGAATAAGGATACTATGACAAAAATCGGATATCAAACCAGACACAAAATAGCTTAGTACTGTTGATAATTTTTAAAAAATCAAAAAGTTTTTGTGTGAATTGACAATGTTTCTTAGAGCTTAACTGACATCCTCAAAAATCACAGCAAATAACTTATTGATAAATAGAAATGAAAGTTCCCGACATCTATGCATATGACATATTGTTAAAAAACAGTTTTTATGGCTTTGATTTAGTTGATGTGATATCTGTGTCTCAAGTTTTCAACTATTTTCTAGTTTTTAAAACTTAATGCCTGAGAAGCCATTGTGACTTTCAAAATCATTTCACTTTGTTCTATTTGAAATACGTCTTCTGTTGTTAAATGAGAAAATGTCTTGCCAAAGAGAATACATCCTATAAGCTTATAAAAACAATTTCTAAATCAGAGATATTTTACAGATCTTAACATTGGTTAGGGAAGTTACAATAGGGAAACATTGAAAAAGAAGAGAAGTTACAAACAGCAGCATGATGGTCATTAGACAACTCTTGTGTTCCCTACTGTGAACTACAGGCACCATGAATCAATAGTGGCCACAAAACCCAGCTCCTACTATAGTGCTGTTTAAATCAATGCAGGCGCCCAAGTGTAAAGTGCTAATAACTATAATATTAATAAGATGTATAATATTAATAAAAATTACTGGACACATTTTATTTTTTTTTAATTTTTTATTGTTGGTTGTTCAAAACATTACAAATTTCTTGATATATCATATTTCACACTTTGATTCAAGTGGGTTATGAACTCCCATTTTTACCCCATATACAGATTGCAGAATTACATCAGTTACACATCCATTGATTTACATATTGCCATACTAGTGTCTGTTGTGTTCTGCTGCCTTTCCTATCCTCTACTATCCCCCTCCCCTCCCCTCCCCTCCCCTCCCCTCCCCTCTTCTCTCTCTACCCCATCTACTGTCATTCATTTCTCCCCCTTGTATTATTTTTCCCTTTCCCCTCACTTCCTCTTGTATGTACTTTTGTATAACCCTGAGGGTCTCCTTCCATTTCCATGCAATTTCCCTTCTCTCTCCCTTTCCCTCCCACCTCTCATCCCTGTTTAATGTTAATCTTCTTCTCCTGCTCTTCGTCCCTACTCTGTTCTTAGTTACTCTCCTTATATCAAAGAAGACATTTGGCATTTGTTTTTTAGGGATTGGCTAGCTTCACTTAGCTGTATAGTGCTCTCTCCTGTAAATCCTCAGTGTCTAATCAAAAGGAACTTAATCACAGAGAAACCTGGGTGAATGTATGAAGACCTAGCCAAGACTCAAACTATGAAATGTGGGAACATGGAGTGGCTGGTGTGGGCAAGACCAGATGTTGTATGGCATTTGAAATTATATGATTAAGTGTGGGGTGCATGTTATGCTAAGATAGGTAGGTACAGAATATAAGGGGCTTCCTTCCATTAGGTTTCTCACATTCTCAGGGAAAAGAATACACCAGTAAGCAAGCAAGAAATATGTGTATCAAGAGGATTAATAAGAACAACAGTGTACTTATAGTCAATAGCACTACATTTTTACATTTATTGAGGCATAATTAATATTTAAAACTCTATATATTTAATTCATTTTAATGATGTATACACTGTAATACTAGAATCAAGGCACTAAATATATCCATCATCTCCAGAAATCTCTGTATGTTCTTTTGTACATGCTCATTTTAACTTTTATCCTTCACTTTTGTGATTAATACCTTATGTATACATATGAATATACCATAGTGAATCTCATCATTGTATACATCCAAAGGAAATTAATTAAAAAAAAAACTATGGGTAAGTGGCCAAAAGAACAATAACAGAAAGGAATCATGGGGTGGGGAGAGGGAAGGACAAGAAGAAGTAGAACAACGTATATTCCATGCCTTTATATTATGTCAAAATGGATTCTGTTGTCATATATAACTAAAAAGAACCAACAACAAAAAAAAGAATTTAACATGAGATCTAGCCTCTTAATGTATTCCTGCTTATCTTTTTTTTAATTTTTAGTTGTGAATGGACATGATGCTTTTCTTTTATTTACTTATATGTGGTGCAGAGGATCAAACCCAGTGCCTCACACGTGCTAGGCAAGCGCTGTACCACTGAGCTACAATCCCAGTCTCTTTTAATGTATTTCTAAGAGCATGATGCCATATTTTTTTCTGTAAGTTCTATGCTATGCAGTAAATCTCTAGAAATTATTGTCTTGCATAATTGAACTTCTAAGCCTATTGAGCAATTATCCCCATTTCCTCTTCCCCTGAAACCCTAGAAATCACCATTCTACTCTCTATTTCTGTGAATTGGACTGTTTTAAACACCTCATGAAAATGGGATCATGTAGTATCTTTCTGCAACTGGTTTATTTCACTTAACATAATGTCCTCTAGAACCACAATGACATATCTATCACCTAATACCTGTTAGGATACTAATATTAAAAAAATAATAATTACTATCATTGGTGAGTATTATACACTGTTGGTGGCAATGTAGAATAGTGTAGCCAGTGTGGAAAACAGTACAGAAGTTCCTAAAAAGTTTTCAAAAATAGCACTATTATATGTTCTAGAAATCTCACTTCTGGGTATTTTTCCAAAAATAGTGAAATTAGGATCTTGAAGAGAAACTGTACCCCCAGGTTCATTGCACCTTTATTCACATTAACAAAGATATTAAAACACCTTAAATTTCTACTAACAAATAAATAGACAAGCAATACTTAAAATTTATGAGGACTAAGCATGAAGTGGGGGCAAACACCTGTAATCCTAGCTACTAGGGAGGTTGAGGCAGAAGGATTGAAAATTCAAGGCCAGTCTCTTGGTGAGACCCTGTATCAAAATAAAAAGTGTTGGGGATATAGCTCAGTAATAGAGAGTCCCCAGTACTAGGGGGGAAAAAGGTAGGCAGGCAGGAAGATCTCATTTTCTCATCTTAAGCATTTTTACAACACTAAAATAAAATTTAAAATGTTTTGTCCCTAGAAAGGATTATATACTACTTTAGAATGTGGTTACTTATGAGAAAAAAGTCACTTGTACTCTGAACAAAAAATGGGGAGAAAAGATTACCTTTACTCATAAGAATGAATTTTTAATTATAATAATCATTTATATTTTCAATATATTCTTTTTAATAGGTTCCTCTTAATAAAAATTGCATATTTCATTTTAGAAAAATGTCCAATACAAAAGCATAGAATAAAAAATCATCAAAATTCATAAGAAAAATTGATTCTTTTATTTTAAAAAGTAGTTTCCATTGGTTGATTCTTGATCAGAAAAAAATATAGAAAATACTAAAAAAATCTCACATAGAATGAAAATTAAAATCACTGTTATTGTCAAAAATTTTTTCATGGATAAATAAATAAGATGATGACTTCTGCCTGAGGGTGGAGTTGAGAACGAGTCAGGAGAGCTGTGTGAAGAGAATACCAAGCCTTTATCCACCTCTTGTTTCAAGTCACTATAAGCACCTTCCCTATTCCAGGCAAGATTATCGATGCTGAAGAACCTGTCCTGTCACTCAACATGCCCAACAGTGCTTGGAGACACTTTAGCCCTCCATCTCAGATGAGAACACTGTAGCCGAGAAGGTTGTTAACATGCCCACAGCGTGTCACCGGTAAATTGCTCAGCTGGGATGCAAATCAGGATTTAAAAAAAGAAAAATGCTCAGGCTCCTAAGTACTATGAAGACTGTTTTTCATTCATGGGCAACAGTAGGTTGTCTTGAACATGGTCAGATTTGTGCTTTAGACAATGTGGAGGCAGAGCACAGAAGCAAAAAAAAAAAAAAGACTACTTTGGAAGTTTATTGCAAGGAGGAGAAGCAGGGTGGGGAGGGAGAGGAGGAGGAGGAGGAGAAGGAGGAGAAGAAAGAAAGAAAACAGACATTATGGATGTTGTTATACTTCACTTTTGTATTGAAAACATGAAACTCAGCATATTGCTTGAGTTCCATCCTAAGGGAAGATAGTAAGATTTATCAAGGTGAATTGATTTTTAATTCCTAAATAATGGGTTGAAAGGAAATTTTGAATTGTAATCAAGATGAAATTTTTTAAAATGAGGATAAAAGGACAGAGAAAATACAAGAAAGATGAACACAGAGAAAGCAAAGTGAAATTGCATCCTAAGTGATCTGTATATATTGATCAAGGGGATCTGAGCCCCTCTGGTCTGAACAACAATGGTACCCTTAACAATGGTACCCTTTCACTAGAAGACAAAAGAAAGCTCTTGTTACCTTGTTATCCTAAACTGAAAAATGATAAATTGAACTGAAAGTAAAAGTCCCATAAGATTGGCAGAAAGCTAAAAAATGAAACCAACAAATATTTAGCTGAGTATTGAGGAAACACAGAAACAGAATTTTAGTAAGGCCACCCAGAGACGTAAGAGTTCAGATGAAATTAGCAAAGAACATTGATCCTAAAACAAGTGAACAAGTCTTTGTGGTAGAACCTGGGCATGGCTGTGAACCAGGACAGAAGGCAGGTAATGCGTGTCATTATCCATATCACACAAGAGCCAGACCCTCATTAACATCTTATAAGACACGGGATTGTCCTTCTAAAATGGGAGTCCAACACTCATTTCTAATGAAACATACCACCTGCTGGAGTGCACTAGTGAGACACACCACCTGCTGGAGTCAATTAAAAAAAAAAAAACAATAAAATGCCAAATTAAAGGGCAAAGTGATTGTTTTCCAACCCTTTAATTATTTAATGATGGTTCTAACAGGGGCTGCATCTCCTGGTCAATATTCTAATACCTTGCAAGAATTCGCTCCAGGAACACTTGGAGGAAATTTTGTTTCCTTATCCTGGGATTTAAGGCTCTCCACTCTTTGCCTTGATCTTCTTTTAGAGTGTTCTTCCAAGAAAATTGTCCATCCATAAACATACCAAACTCACTAATCACCATCCTTACCATTCTCCAAACACACCTCTCACTTTCCTTTCCTTTAACTTTCCTTACGTTGTTCTTTCCAGGAATGATAGGAACTCCCTTAAATTCTATGAGAATCTTAGCTTATTCTTTGAGATATCTCCTCTATATAGTCCATCCAAGGTCCCCAGTTAGAACTAACATTCATTGTTCTGAGTTACTCATTATTTTGATCAGGTTCATACCTGTATATGAATGCCTTCAATGAGATAATATTGTTGTCTTTAAAAGAATATTTAGTATATAATGTTATAACAGCATTTACTATTATTCTGTGTTTTATGGAATAACTATACTATGCTAATTACTATATTAGTACTAGGTTACTTTAGATATATATTCCACGTTAACACAATAACCATGTACAGTAAGTATTACATGCCCACTTAACAGCAGAGGAAACAGACCTGGAAATTTGACGTCATTTGTATAGTTACCAAGCAGTGGAAAAGTATTCGAACTTAAGTGTGCTTGATTCTAAAATCTTCATCCTCCATATCACACACTACCTGTCTTCCTAGACATTAAACCCAAAAAGACAGACTCTGTGTCTTTCTCATTTCTACACACTTCACAAATTCATACAGTAGAGAAAATGGAACCCAACAGTGTATTTTAAATTTAACAGGTGAATAAAATCCCACCTAGCAGCCAGCCACGAAAAACAGACACTACCCAGAGTTGCTTGCAAGAAAAAGAAACTGCCTTGTCCATGGAGTTGTGAATTGCAATGTTTCTTTTTATTTAATTACACCAGCCAGCACCTATTGAAAGTTTACTTGGCGAAAAAGAACCACTAGGCATATCATTGTACAATGTACTTGCTATTTTCCAAGTATTCAAGTACATAAGGAAGAGAAACTCTGTAAAGGAATAACTACATATTAACTCAGTATATAAATTTAAGGAAAGAAGTCCTAAGAGATTTTAAAAGAATAAGATTATTTCCCAATTTTTTAAGAATTAAAAAAAATATTTTACCTTGGCCATGAATTAAGCCTTCCTTGCAATACTCTGTTCATGAACAAAAAATCAACTGAACAATAAATAGTATCCACTTTCTTATGATTTGCTGTTTCATATTTTCAAAATAAATTTGAAAATTATCAACACTGATGATGTGATATAAAGAGTCAAAAATAATATCAATGCCATGAAGTTTTCTTCACTTTACTGAGATAAATTTCCTGGATATACTGCTCCAGAAGAAATGGAATTCAAACATATGGAATTCATCTGTGTTTGTGCCTTTTCATATAGTTTGTCTTACATGTAAATGAGCCAACTGTAGTATCTATAAAAAAAATTAAGTTGCAGAATGGAAGCCTATAATAAGTAGTCTATAAAAATGAGATATTTCTATACATACCTATTAAGCGGATCACTTAGGTCCACCTTTTTCTTGCCAGAGTAGCTGCGTTGAGCAGAGCGTTTCTTTCGAGATTCTGGTGCGAATGCTCTAGGTTGCCCTCTACTCCTGCAGTCTGTGGGGAAATAAGTATCCACAATAGCATTTGTGAGATGGGGAGTCCGATGCTCATCTAGATTACTTCTTTAATGGCCAAAGTGTGCATGCACAAATGAGAGCAAGGAACAAGAGCAAGAGCAACAGTGAGAAAGATTTTCCTCTGGTCAATGCAACTTTGCTAAGGGCCCACAGTCACAACAGCTGCATTTGCAAGTGTCTGAATCTGTTTTCACAGCAACAGGTAGAACAGGATACAAGGCCATCTGCAAACACTATAGAGGAGCCACAGAGTAAGTGATGCAGAATGGTAGCAAGGGCATTGATTACACAGTACGTTTTAAGGACTTGTCATAATGAGGAAAAGAGCAGAAGCATTGTAGGTGGGATGATTAAGTTTTGAGGTTCCTCAAATTGTTTCATGCACATCTATGACCAACTGAGATATGCATTGTAAATGCTCTCTATTGCACTAATGAACATATAGTAAAGATTGCTGTACAGACACTTCAAAATGGTAAGATGGTAAATTTTGTCCTATGCTTTTACCACAATAAAAAACATAAGCATGATATGAAAAACATTTTGCAAATAAATGTGAATTTAAAAAAAAAATGCTCACTAGAGTTTCATCTGAAAACAGATGGAATGGAAACTAAGATATTTTGAAAAAGAAGAATGTTGTAGGAATCTATTTTCACAGAGAGTAAAATGATTTTATATAAAACTTTTTTAAAAGCCTTAAACTGGTGGGAAAAACAGACCCCCAAATATGTAATCAAATTTAAAATGTTACATTAGGCAGTATAAATTGGAGGGTAAGAAGAGATTACTGTCTTTTGCACTGGGTAATTAGCAAATTATTTCTAATTAAATAGTAAGGATAACACAAATCTTCACTTACCATATATAAATTAAATTCAAGAAGAATATGCCTTATGATAGATTATTAAGTAAATATAGATAGCAAATTTAGGATAGTATTTTGAGTTAACACAATAAACTGTAAACACTATAAAATTAGGCAAAATAAAATAAAATTTCATACAAATATGAAATAAAATATGGGCTCATTGTCATGAAGACATTGAAAATAGACCAGAATTAAAATACTCAAAAATGGTAGCAATGATGTAACTATCATATTGGTCATCTGTTGTTATTTTCTTTTTTATTTTCACTTCTACGTTTTGTTGTATCTCTGTTTTCAGTAGAATAAGCCTTTGTCTTTGCAAAATCCAAAATCAATTCATCCGAGGAAAACCAAGGCAAGGTGAAAAACTAAGGTGCAACAGTGAATTGTCACATCATTATCTGTTTTGCCATCATTGAATGAAAGATTTCTGTAAATGCAACTTTTTAAAAAAAATTTTTTAAAAGTGAGAGAGAGAGAGAATTTTTTGTTTGTTTGTTTGTTTTGTAGATGGACACAACACAATGCCTTTATTTTTATGTGGTGCTGAGAATTGAACCCGGGTCCCGCCCGTGCTAGGCAAGCGCTCTACCACTAAACCACAATCCCAGCCCTGTAAATGCAACTTTAACAGAAAGATAGGGTTATTTCAAAGACTGAGTCACTTTAATGGAGCAAGAGAACAAGCAAAGAGTTTCATAAATCTATAAAACAATTATTCAATAAGGGGGCAGAATGGTGGCAATGAAAATGAACACTGACTGGGCAGCTCTGGTAAAAAACTTGTGGCAAAAGTGTGCCATTGAAAATGTTTATCTTGCTATTTTTTCCTAACAACAAAATCAAAATATTCTAGATAAAATTATACCCAGGGATATAAAATTATACCAAGGGACCCATATATTTATGTTTCCCATGATTTTTACTCTGTTACTTCAACCAATACTTTATTAATAGTCAAAAATGTGCAAATATTTGCTGATTTGTGTGATAAAAAAAGTAAGTAAAATATTTTATATGATACAACTAAAGAAAGTACATTACAATCATGTAATGAAACTTTGCTTTTATTTCTGAAGAGTAATGGGTTTGAGCAATAAATATTTACAGAGAATATATACATTAAGGTATTAGATGAGGTATTCTTGGGAAAATAAAGTATGGTTCCTGGTTTTGAACAATGTACAAGCATACTCCCAGTACAGGAAAACATTTCCAGATAAGCTAAATGTTGCCCCTTCAAGTCCTCAAATGGGAAAAAATGTAGATAAAGTGCACTGTAGATAAACTGTCATCATTTATTATCTCTCATTTATTTTTTAAAGATGCAATTTTAGAATATATTCATTTCAAAGCACCAACAGAATATGTACAAGGTCATATGCATAAAACCCAAGAGCAAAGAGTTAGTGTATATAACATTGTAGGTATAGAGAGAAACACATGATCAGAACCAATCCACGTGACTGCAGTAACAGTGCAGCTCTACTTTAAGGTGACAGCTAAGATGTTATATTTCGAACATCTTTTTTTTTAATTTACCTTGGTATTTATCTCTAGTTGCTACAAAAATTGCAGAGAATCCTTGATTGATAGTGTTTAGTTCTTAGGTGAACAACATTTGAATTTAAATAGCATATTAATTTGGTAAATGTTTTGGTTTTATACTTATGCCTATAGGTCTTAAATATGTGTGTGCTATACTCTCTGTGAGCGCATATATACATATGTATGCTCTAGATCTGTTTTTAGGCTTTGTGTGAATGTTCTATTTGACACTGTACAATAACCTATGTCATTATCTCTACTGTTAACTTGAGGAAACCAAAGCACAGAGAGATTGCATTCACTTGTCCAAAGTCCTACAACTTTTTTACATAAGGGACAGGATTTTAATACAGACTATTGAATTAGACATCCAATCTGCTGGTACTACCTTACAGCACAGAAAGAAAAGCAGAGCTAACAAGATGAACTCTTAGATTCCTGGCTTGTGCAACTAGGGAAATAATGGTGGCATTATTTGTTATTGAATGAATGGATAGCTGGGCCTAGGCTTGAAGGTAAAAAAACATAAGGTAAGTTTAGGTTGGCTCAAAAGTATTGTCAAATTTCTAATCAACATATATATAACTCATGGAGTGTTTCAATATACCTAGAAGAGATGTGGATGAAGACACAGCCACATGGATCATTTTCAAGAAGCATAATATGGTGTGTGTGTACATGTGTATATATGTGTGCCTGTATCTAGCTACTCATTTAGTCTTATTTGACTTCCACAGCCCCTGAATGTGATTTTGCTCTGTGAATGGTGACCTAGAGCTATGCTAGGTCTTATTAAATCAAGCAAGTTGCTTCCCTGGTTTACTTATGCAGCAGAATCTTGCCTTCTCTCTAAGGCACAATTCATAGCAACTAGACCAGCTCCAGCTTTACTTGGTCATATCTGAGAACAGGTACCATGCCCAGCTCCTCCACGAAGTCTTTCCTGAACTACCGAGAGCACATTTAATGGAAATTTGTGACACTTTGTCATACTACTCTCCTTCATCTAAGAAGATGTTGAGAAGAAGGCTCAGTCCTACCTATCAAATTATCCTTTGTATCTAGCATAGCTCTTGCATAAAGTACACACTCAATGAATATTTTTGCCAATATTTCTGCTATGCTCTTTTTTTGGCTCCCAATTCTCCCTATAAATTGAAATAAAAGAGGCCAGTACTACACATCCCCCTGTCTGCTTGCTATACTGCCTTGAAATTTCCCCTGCAACATAAACTAGAGCATCACCTTTAAGCTCAGCTTCACATAATCTTAAGGCATGGGCAAAACACATCTAAATTTTTTGCCACAGTGTAACAAAGGTGACTTCTAGTCTAGTTCCCAATAGAATCCTCATTTCCATCAGAAACCTCTTCAGCATCACCTTTACTGCCTATCAACATTCCTATCACATTTGGGTCTTCTGTCCCTTACAAGGAATCCCTTGTTAAGCTTAGAGAATACTTGTCTTTTTTCAGCTTGCATCTCCAAACTTTTCCAAACTCCTCTTGAACACCATTTCCAAAGGCACCAATTCCAAAGACTTTTCCACATCATGAGGTATAGTCACAGCAAAGATCCCACTATGAGGTACCCATCTGGGGGATTAAGCAGCATTCTGTCACTGTGACAACATCTGAAATAATCAACTTATAAAGGGAAAAGATTAATTTTGGCTTACAATTTTGGATGCTTCAGTCCTTGATTGGTTGACCCCATAGCTCTGGATTAGTAGCAAGGCAACACAGCATGGCAGAAGTGCACACCCACTCACCTCACAGTCAGAAAGTGGAAGAGAAAAAGCAGAAGAGGCTGGAATCCTACAATCCCCTTCAAAGGCAATCCCTCAGTGATTGGAAGAACTCCCACTAGGGCACCTCTTAAAGTGTCCATGACCTTCCAATAGTACCACACTGGGAAGCAATCCTTTAATACATGAATCTTTAGGCGACACTTAAGATCTAAACTATAAAAACACTTCTTATTTGCTTGCAAGAAGAGAAAAAGAATGAATAATTTAAAAGAAACACATAAAATGACAATTCGTTACGGCAGGAGTTTGACAATAGGTTTATTCAAACCTGTGATTTTATATTGCATATGTACATTACAGCAAAGTATTCCTAGTTCTGAAAAAGGAACCAAGACTACTACGACTTTATATTTTTAGACGATGATTCACTTGAATTGGAATCAACACTAAACTTCCCGCAATTGTCTTGATAGGAAAAGATGTCCCCCAGAAAAATCACTGATGTGTATTCATACTCTCATTGCCATCTCATTTTTTTTTTTTTTTACTCTGCAGGATAACTATGTGCTACAAATGAAGTGGGTTTAAACAACACAAATGCACTTTCAATGTTTGAACTGTATCTCTTCAAAATTTTTATATTTAAATTCTAATAACCTCCAGCCCTCGCAAGGGTTAAATAGCCTACCAAAAAAATGGACAGTATAGTATTGGCTTTGAACAAAAATCCATTCTTGTGAATCATTTTGATCACGTCAATGGAGAGACTCTTTGATTTTTTATTAAGATTTGTTTTTCTACTTTTCTC